CCCGCGTGCTCTTGCGCGCGCGCGCCCCGCGCCCCGCGCCCCGCGCCCGGCGCCAGCACCGATACGGTGCGCCAGGCGGCCGGCCAGAGGCTCGACGAGCGCTACGCGGCCGCTGTGCCTTCCCGTAGTTCTTGCCTCCCGGGGGCGCGGGTGGGTGTGCGTGAGAGAAGAGGAGGGAAGCGGCGGGGTGGGAAAGGAGGGAGGCCCGGCGGGAGGGCGGGAGACAAGCGGGCGGGAGGGGGGCTCCGCGGTGCTCCAGCCAGGGCCGCGGTAAGCCTGCACGTCACGGCTACTCAAAACCAAGCACGTCCCGAAAGCGGTATTTTCTGCGTCTGGGAGGTTTTTGCGCCCTCAGTTCCCACCGCTGGGGCTGGCGGCGACCAACTGTAAGGGAAACTCACTGGGAGGCGAAGCTAGGGGGTTGCGGAGGATTGGAAGGCGACTCTGAGTGTTGGGAAGTAAATACTGGACTTGATCGTCTCTGTCTTTCTTTCAGCGCGGACCTGTCGCAGCCGAAGAGCTGTCGTTTCATCGCCAGGGTTCAGATGAATTGATCCAGTCCTCAGCGGACGGGGCACATCTCAGTTCCCGAAATGCTGCGTGTCTCCGGCTGGAACAATACTAGTTTTTCTCAGCGAGGCTGCAATTAACATCTTGTTTGTTCTGGCTAGATACAGGCTTTGTCAGGACCGCGGTGCGGCGACCGAGGTTGGGCATCTTGCATTGCTTTCTGCATGGCAATGGGATCATGGTTGTGGGGGGGTCTAAACTTTTGTTTTCTTAATGTATCTGATTCTTCTTTAAGTTTCCCTAGTAACAGGTTTGTGGACAGTGGTAGAAAAAAAAAAAAAAACAAAAAACAAAAAACAAAAACGAGGCAAAGGGGGAGGAAAAGCTACCGGATTCTCGATTTAGCAGCAACAAAAAGGACAAATTTCCACCACTCCCCACCTTTATTTATTTGGCCCGCTGGACGGTTGGCTGACAAGTGTTTGATGAACTAGCTTCAGGTACAATGCTGCAAAAGGTCATTCGCCTACTGATTATGTTTCTACTTGTAAACGCAGTTGGTAGTTTGCAAAACAAGTGGCAAAATAGTGTGGTGATTCGGTGGGGGAGACCAGAATGGGTAATTCCTGTGAAGTGTCGGAGTCTTCCTAAGGGTGAGTGGCTTGAGCGGCAGGTGAAGTTGAATAAAACAAATTTCCATCATCTTCTCTCTGTACTCTTTCTGCATTTTTCTTCCTCTTGTTGTTCCTCTCCCCTGGGGCAAATGGAGAGCCAAGAACATTATTTTAAAATAGGACTATAGTGAAAATAGAAAGGTGCCAATGATCTTTTATTCACTGGAGTTGCTTGAAATATTAAAATTGGCCCTTTACTTCTTAATACATATTAATAGGGTGACCCTCTTCAAGGCTTTCTCTTCTAGGACAAGTGTTCAGAATAACATCCTGTAAGGGAAACAGTTAATCATTCCCCATCCAACAAGCTTTAACCATGTTCCAGGAACATTCACTGGCTGAGAGAGCAGCCTTTGTGGCATTTTGGTTTTGTGTCATTTTTGGTTCATTACAATATTTTTTATTCATTTAAGGGAAGGTGAAAGGAAAATAAGGTTTATGTCTAGGGCATAATCCTAAACATTGTGTCTTAAGCAAACACGTTTTCTTTTAAAAAACATTCAGTAATACAAAGAATTACATTTCCTTTATTTCAACTTCCATAGAGATTATAATTATGATAGTTGCAAGACATTTTGGTCAGTTCTGTTATGAGAAGCAAAAATAGAGATTAATGACATGTTTAAAAAATGGAAAAAAAAAGGAGAAGGTTTTGCATGATTTGTACATAAAAAGAAAACAATGTGAGTTTTAGATCTATGTCTATCTTGCACCTAGTAATTTCTCACATCTTTGAACACTGTGATTCTGATGTTTCTTAGAAAATCTTGAAGTCATGATATAGTGACATAAGAATAATAGCTGAAAGGGATAATTTTAAAAGACTTAATCCTAAATGGAAAGGAGCACTCATTCCCAGGGTCATTTACATTCAAGTAGAACACGGGACTGGGTCAGGGAGAAAGCCACCCTTAATAAAGCACTTCACCCTTCACACTGTTTCCCATAACCTTCATAAATTGCAGGCTACTGAGCCAGCCTGATGATGATCCCGCTGAGGTATATTTATAGCAGATGATTTGTGGATGATAAATATGCCAAGCAAGACACCATCTCCAGTAACCCCAGGCTGGTCTGACTTCCTCAGGGGGTCATAATCAAGAATCACAAAAAGAACCCTATATGGAGAATCTGGTCTATGGACCTAACAACAGCACAATTCCAAAGGCAGACCAAGGAAGAGCCATCCTGATTCATGTCTGCACTATGTTCCATGTGAAAGCACCGCTGACACATTGACCCAACAATGAAAAGAGCGGCAGTTTATACACTAGGCTCTCTGTGTCCTTTCCTCCCTATTGACATTGGTCTGTTTTTATGCTTTAATGCATTTTAAAAAATCACCATTTCACATTGTAATTATCAGCCTTCATTTGCTTCTCACCAATCCCTGTGTGTATCTGTTTATGTCTGTATGGATACAAACAGATCCATATTTAACACACATGTTTCATGTACATGTGTATATATAAGCATGTATTATATGTAAGTGTGCACACACACACATGTATATAATATGTTCACATATATTTCCATTATTATATATGTATTTGGGAGGATGGTTTCACTATACTCCTTTATATTTCTCTTTAGTATGAAGTGTTCTCACCCCAAAACTACCAGATTAATTGTATAAACTAATTTTCACTTAACTTTCCTTCTCAACTTTTGAAAGGACAATTGAGAAGCCAGTATTAACACATCAAAATAAAAACTCGTATTTTAAATTGGCCCAGGCATGTAAAGTCTTTCAAATTTATCTTTTCTACTATTTATATGTTTTTAAAGATTACTTCAGGGAAATGAGATTTCTAAGTATAATGTATCTCTCTTTTACTTCTATTGCCTTTATTTTTTTACTGTTTAGTTCTTCTACCTTTGAAAAAAAAGAATCCCATCCTCCAGGATCCTTTCTTAAACTTCAGTATCACCTGCACAATTCTCAGACTGAAATGATAAGAATATGTTTTGAATATGCTTACCTAGTTTTAGAAAGGGCTTTCTTCCCTCTCATGCCTTTCTCTCATGCTCCTTGTGGTATTACTATGTTACCACTTTTAAGTTTTATAACTTTTCTTTAGTAAGGCTTTAAGAAGCACAAATAAGTTTATCGATTATTCTTTTTCAATATGCTCTAACTTTTCAATACCTAATGTCTCCAACACACACACACATGCACGCACAGATTTTTGACAACTAATTTCACAATAAAAGGAAATTAACAACTTCAGAAATATGAACCTTAACTACCTTATCATTTACTCTAATCAACTAGTGCTTTATTTTGTGTTAATAAAATGATCAAAATATTACATGATTAAATGGGTAAGTACTTACTTTATGCTTAAAATTAGCATATTTACTATGAACTGAAAGAACTTCTCATTCTTTCTCCTCCTCCTCTTCTTCTTTCTTCTTATTAAATAATGAAGTTTCTCAGGAACTAAGCTGATTCTTCTCGGTTTTCTATTTAAAAAACAAAAGGCATCCCCTTCTAATTGGGCATCCCCAAATAGAAAATACATAACAAAAGTACTAAAAAGTAGAAGGGTATAGTAGAGCAAACGGATACATGAACTGATGGTTATCCTGGGCTGGTTAGTCCAAACTTGCCCCATGCCAGGCATAGCCAGAGTACTTTTTATCAAAGAACTCATTTGTATCAAGTTTCCATTTTTACCATTCTTTTCCTCTACTATGATACATGTAAAACACTCACATTGTTAAAAAGTTTTTGACCATCAATTCCAAAGGCTTCATTTGTGAATCAAGAAATGCCATGGGTAGGTACCACATAATGTCACATTTGTGTGTTATAGAAGTATCTTGGAAAATAGGGACTTTAAAAGCTCAAAATACATGTTTGCAGTTAAATAGGAATTTACCCCAAATTCTTTCCTTGTCAGTTATTTTTATCTACTTTTTTGTATAAAGTTGCTATGTTTATGCTATTATCTTTAATTTTTAGGATTTCAAATGAACCATAAATAAAGATTCTTCATTTTTACCCCTGAAGCTGACACTGGTTATGTAGACAGTTATAGACAAGAAGCTGTGCACTCTCTGGACTTCATTTTCCTCATAGGAAAGGAAGAGCATGACCAAGTACTTTCTATGGTTCTTCTTGATATTTTCTAAATTAAACAAGGTATCTCACAAGACATGGAAGCAATGAGAGAAAAATGCAACAAAATCCTAGGCTAGGAAGAATCAAAATTGTTCCAGTCAAATATTGGAAATGCTCTACTCTACCATAATTTTTAAGATCTCTATAGTTTTACCAGCTTTGCCCTTCCTTCCTTGCTGTCATCTGCCAGTGGAAAGACAACCCATTACATTCTTATTCTTCCCTCACTGTGATCATTTTTTTTTTCTCAGATTGCGTTCCAACCCTACTAAAACTGATGACAAGAACTAAAGTTGTGAGTACCAGCATATCTGTTGACCTTAATCAACACCAGAGATTAAGGTCAGTTGATTACCTATTATTTCTGAACTCTTGTGTCTCTCCAGCTCTGTTCCTCACCACTTCTAACCCACTCTTTTTCTTTCTCCCAGATTCTCCCTCTTTGCCATCTAGATCTCCTTGCTCTTCTATTCCAACACACCTTTATGCAGAATGTTCTTTTTGTACCTTCTGTTGACTGAAACCTACTATTTTTGTGAAGACATGGCATCTCTTGCAACCATGCCAAGAGGAAGCCAGTTACATGCATGCTTCTTCCACACTCTGATTAACTAGGGATTATGAGTAGATGGGATCAGTGTCCTTGATCTCCATTGCTGGGTTCAAATATTTACTTCTAATCTCACTTTAATACCTTTTTTTTTTCCTTAGAGGTTATGTAATTTCCCTTTGGCAGCCTCACCTCTTCCTCCTTGCTGTCTTTTAAATGACTTCAAATTTTACTTTTTATTCATACAGTCTTTTAGCTGCTGGCTAAGCTTCCCTCTCCATCCAATTTCCAGTCTTCTCATGTTTTCAGCATGTAGATGGCTTATATGTCACACTGTCTATTCAGTTCCGTTTCTGTATTTTCTTTTATACCAACTCAGCCACATTTTCCTTTAGTCTTCAACTAAAGAGATCATAAATAATGACTGTTCCACTTCCAGTATTGTTTCTATTTTGTACTTACAATCTTCTACTTTTGTAAACTCACCTTCTTGATAACCATAAGGAGCCAAGTCTTCCACAATATTCAGATCTTTAATCCATTCCAACTAATTTCTTCTCCTACCTTTTCTTCCCTCCTCTTACCCTGTAGCAGGCAGCATCTCGCGTGTCCCCCAGTGATCCCTACTTCCTGTCATTCATGCCTTTGTATAACCATCTCCCCTTGAGTGTGAGCTAGATTTAGAAACTTGCTTCCAGGGAGTAGGCAGCAGTGATAGGATGTCACTACCAAGTGTAGGGTATGAAATGACTGTCCTCCATCTTTCACTCTCCAAATAACACTCACTCTGAGATATGCCACTTGTCCTGCTGTGAGACAGCCTTACAGAGACAACCAAACCCATGGGAGTTTGATTAGAAGCACATCTTCCAAGACCTGACAATAGCTATGTGAGTGAACTCAGAAGTAGAAGTTTCCCCAGTCAAGTCTGAGATCTCCTGGCCAATACCTTGGGAGTAGCTTTGGAGACACCTTGAATGAGAACCACTCAGCTAAGCTGCTCCTGGCTTCCTGATCTATAGGAACTATATGATACCAAATGTTTACATTTCCCATTGCTAAGTTTAGGGATAATTTGTTATACAACAATAGATAACTAATGCATACCCCCATGGATTCCATGCCCATTATTAAAATAATTTACTTATAACCTTCAGCTTTCTCTTCACATTTTCATGGCTGAATTACCACACATACTGTCTCTGAGCCAGCACCCATGAAACAGAACAGTGGTGAAGAAATTCACACCCTTAGGTAATCTGATGCATTCATAATCACCCTATGCATTCATAATCACCAGGTTCAAATGGTCTCACCACACAGGCTGTAACTCAAAACTTTCAGTTATAAGCTCACTCTCCTATTATACCCTATGAATATTTTATAATTTTTACTTGATATTTAAAGCTTTCCTCCAATTCTTCAATTCTGATAGCTTTCTTTATTCTTCATTGATAAAACAGATATAATCATATGGGAACTCCCTCATCTTACATAATAAATTCATTAAACCTGTGCCTTCTCCCATTTTCTCCTTTCTTCTAGCCTCTAAGGAGATACTGCTCATATCTGAAAAGCCATCCCCATGTATAAGTGTCTCAGGTCTTACTTCTATTGATTCTCTTGCACAATGAAAATTTTTCCCTCTCTTCTGGATCATTTTTATCAATATGGTATTTAAAAGGTATTTTAAAGCACTGTGGCCATCCTAAAACAATTTTAATAACATTTCCTATTTGTCATTTCCTCTTCATAACTAATCTTCAAAAAGCAGCCTATCGGGGCGCCTGGGTGGCGCAGTCGGTTAAGCGTCCGACTTCAGCCAGGTCACGATCTCGTGGTCCGTGAGTTCGAGCCCCGTGTCAGGCTCTGGGCTGATGGCTCGGAGCCTGGAGCCTGTTTCAAATTCTGTGTCTCCCTCTCTCTCTGCCCCTCCCCCGTTCATGCTCTGTCTCTCTCTGTCCCAAAAATAAATAAATGTTGAAAAAAAATTTTTTTTTTAATAAATAAATAAATACATAAATATATAAATGAATAATAAAATGAATGTATATGTGCATGCATTCTTACATACAAACACACAGGCACACACACATATACTTATTTAGCTAGGAAATCTCTTTTGATCCTCTAGATTCTTATGTAGTCAATTGTCTAATTGATATCTCTACTAAAAATGTCTCATAGTCATCTCAGATTTTAAGTAATCAAAACAAAACTGACTATTCCAGAGAAATGTATTCTTCCTTAGTCTTCCCATCACAGGAAATAGCACCATTATCCACACAGTTATTTATACTGCAAACATGGGAATTTTGCTTGCTGCCTCATTTTTTTTTTTTTTTTAATCACTCCCACATTCAATCCTTTCATAAGTGTTGTCTGTTCCACTTTGTATTCGTTTGCTAGGGCCACCATGACAAAATATCACAGCCTGGGCAGCTTAAACAACAGACATTTATTTTCTCACAGTTCTGGAGACTGCACGCCTAAGATCAACATGACAGAATGACTGATTCTGTCTGTGCAGATGGCCACACTCTTGCTATTTTTTCTCATGGTGGTCCCACTATGCCTGTTCTACCTCTGGTGTCTCTGTATGTCTCAATCTCCATTTTTTTAATAAGGACATCATCAGTCAGATTGGATTGGGGGCCACACCTCATTTTAACTTAATTACCTTTTTAAAGACTTTAACTCTGGGGCACCTGGGTGGCTCAGTTGGTTAAGCATCCGACTTCGGCTCAGGTCATGATCTTTCAGTCTGTGAGTCCGAGCCCCATGTCGGTCTCTGTGCTGACAGCTCAGAGCCTGTATCCTATTTCAGATTCTGTGTCTCCCTCTCTCTCTGACTTTCCCCTGCTCATGCTCTGACCCTCCCCTGCTCATGCTCTGTCTCAAAAATAAATAAACAAAAAAAAAATTTGTAAAGACTTTAACTCCACAGACAATCACATTCTTATATACTAAAGGTAGAGAGCCAACATATGAATTGGGGGGGGGGGGTGGCACAATTAAACCGATAACACACCTCAAACATATGTATCTCAAATCAAACATTCTTTTCTTTTTCATCACAGTCTTTCTTTTCTAAAATCTGTGGTTTTTGCCTAGCCCAATGTAATAACCTCCTACCTGCTATCAAATATTCTTTGTTAATTTACTTCCAATCAGTTTTGCTCAAGGCAAAAAATGTGTCCTTTCAAAAATGTTGAAAATGTTTTTGTTTCATTTTTTGAAACCCTGGTTATTACTCACGGCACATATAATAAATCCAATCCCTTAATCATGGCTTGCAATGTCCTACATCATCTGATTCCTTTTTCCCTTTCATCCTGAATCACGCTTCTGCTTACTTATGATGCTCAAGCTACATTAATCTTCTTTCTGTGTCTGAAAGACAGCAATTTTTTTCCTTCCTTGCAACCAACCTATGCAAGGAATAGACTTCCCTTCTCCTGCTATTGGGATAATTTTTATTGGCTGTCCTTTTCTCATTCCTAAGATTACAGTTTGAAAATTCTCTAAGGAAGCTTTCTTTTTTAAACCACCAATCTATGGCCGTTTCTCTTATATTCTCTTTCAAGATAATTATTTGTCTGTTGTATAGTACTTGCTAATTTTTAATTTTTAATTGCTCTTTATTTGCTTTCCTCATTGGTCTATAACTTCATTACTATATATTCTTGCCTCAATAGTTCAAGGCACATTGGAACTGCTTAATAGATATTTAGTGAAGGAGTTGGTTGAAATTTGCAACATGATAAATTCCACATTTTAGTATTAATTATGCCCACTTGTGTCATATGTATTTTAATAGCTGTGTAACATATATTTATATCACAACCCAGCTGGAATCCTCTCTTTTCTGGACCAAACACTTTATTTCCTTCAGACATTTCTCATGTGACATGGTCTCCAGAATCTCCAATCTTTATATCTGTTTTCCACTGAGTTTGCCTCAGTTTGTCACAGTCCTTTGTTGCCTTAATTGTTGAAAGTATTCTATACTTTAACTTTCCAGTGTACATACCAAAAAAAAAAAAAATCTATTTGTTCACTTCAAATGAATAAACATTCATTGAATATCTATCTACTTGGCCAAACTCTGTAGTTACAAGGATGAAAACAAAAGGCTTTTAACTCCCAGAAATGAACTAATCACTGATGTATTTAACACACAATTACTAAGGACATACTCCATATAAGACACATTGTAAGACATTTGAGAGAGTAATAACAGGAATAATCCCCGCCCTTGTGATGATTGCCTCTATTGGTAGCAATAGCTAAATTAACAGCTAGCCACTACTTAATTATAACTGCAAATGTGTCAGATGTCTCAGAGGATAAAGATATGATGTTATGAGAGGTGCGGAAGGTATGTGGTGGGAGAAGCGAGATAGGAAACTTGCTGTGAGAGGGCAGAGAACGTTTACCTAAGAAGTGACATATGAGCAGAGATCTTCAGGACAATAAGAGATTAACAATCATTCTAGGCAAGGGGAATAGAGAACGCAAAGATACTGAGGCAGGAGGAAGCAGCACATCTTCTAGAAAAAGAAAGAAAAGCTGAGCGGAATGAAAAGAATGAAAGGGTCAGTGGCAATTGATGAATTTGTTGGTAAAGATTAGGATGAAAATCAGTGAGTCTTTATCTCAATAGCAGTATTGATTAAAGGAGTGCACACAAAGAAGTAAGTCACTAAGATTTATGTGGTTTTTTAAATGTTTATTTTTGAGAGAGAGCACAAGTGGAGGAGGTGCAGAGAGAGAGGGGAACAGAGGATCC